ATGAGTGACCAAGATTAAATCTAGTTGGTCAAAAGATGAAAAAAAAAAAACCAAAAATGAGATAAAAAGGGGATGAGGACTTCACTGGCATAGGGTTGATGGGGTAGGCAGGCATCAGAGGCAGGGGGTTAAGTGTGACCATAATGTATTAAATGCACATAGGAAAAATCAAAGACTAAATTATTTTTGTATATACACATCTCATAAGCAGAAAAATCTATATAAAATGGATATTAAATATAACAAGTACAAATGTGACATCTCCACATGTAGAAGTTCATTTAATATTCAAACAACAGTGATTGCATATGTTTGTAGGTGTAGACATAAATATTGAAAAGGTAGGCTGATGCAATTACAATGAATCTAAATAATAGTATCCAGTTTTTGTGTTTTTGTAATATAATACCTAATGTTGGTTAATATGAGAAGAAAAGAGTTCTATAAGCTTACATTCTCAGAGGTTGAAGGTATATAAGTCTTAGCAGCCCCATCTACTCAATATAGAAGTTGACACTATGGTGAAAATACATGGAAATATATGTAAAATGAAGAAATATAATGGCAGAGACAGGAACCCAGAAGTACAGAAATATCCTCTATTGTTTTCATGACAGCCCACTCTCCGGAGAACTCAATCACTCCTAAAGGGCAGCAATAGTTCCTCTGTAGGTTAGAATTTACAAAGATCAAATGATTAAGGATGATGCTGTATCTCCAGTAAATTTAACCATAGTGGCACTGTGCACCTGAGAAGCAAGACTTCAACTCAGGAACTTGTGGTAAGCAAATCACATCCAACAATGACAATGGGAAGAGAGAATCCTACACAGTCACTCCAGCTCATGCAGAAAAATTATAAAATGCAATTCCTGTTCTAAAGAAGACTCTGAGTAAGTAAGGTAGGGACTTTTTGCCCATAAGAAGAAGAATCTGTAAATAAAGCTACAATTGGCTACTCTACTCATGGTGAGAAATTAAAGGCTTTCTCTAAAAATACTGGGTACAAGGCAAGAAATCCATGTGTCCTTCATTCCTTTAGCATTAGACTTGAGACCATGCCCAGGACAATGAAGCAAGAATAAGAAACAAAGGAAGAGGAAAGACAAAACTTTTTCTACTCAGATGGTGTGATTGTGCGAACAGAGAAGAAGCTTCCTAAGGAGTCTGCTGAAGAAAACAAGAATATGGAAAATAATGAATAAATTTAGCAAGGTAGAAAAACAAAAGCCTGGTTGGGAAAAAAAATATTAATTTCAAACTCATGAATTAAGAGACTACTTCCCAAATTAAATGAAAAATATCAGAAAAAATATCAATATGTGTGAAACATATCTTAAAATACTTGAGAAATGAGGACCTCACCAAATGGTGAATGAAAACTTAGCCATAAGTTATAACACTTCTTTAAGGATATTGATATTCCCACACTATGGATTCAGTGAAACCACATGAGGCATGTCTGAAGAAATATTGAAGGAGTCAGAAGGAATGGAGTATCCAGCACACCGTCTAACACTCAACATGGAGGATTAGTGCATTTCACCGTATGGGTACTAGAGGTGTAAACTGGGAACCATGATGTTTTCATGTGGACACTACCACTGAGACAGAACAGAGAATTTCCACATTAGTCCCTACACTGTAATTATGAAGTTAAATTCCACTCACATTGGAAATATTTATTTGAGGGAGACTGAAGTGATACCTAAGCAATTAAGGATATGTAAACTGCATTTTCCATTCAATTTTATTGTGAAACAAATGTGTCTTCATCCATTCATCTGTTGGTGGACATGTAGTGAACTTCTTCTTGGCAGTTATTATAAATTGAGTAGCAATGAACATGTCTGAGTAAGTGCCTGTGCTGTAGGATGGAGAGTCTTTGAGTAGAGTGGTACAGATGGATATTGAGGTAGATTGATTCCCAACATCCTGAGGAACTAGGAAGATGATTTCCATAGTGGCTCTACAAACATGCACTCCCATCAAGAGTGGACCGTTGTTTCACTTACCCCACATTCTTGCCACTATGAGCTGTCATATATTTTCTTAATCTTTGGCATGATGAATGCTATGGGTCAAAAAAATCTCTAAGCTGTTTGGTTTACATTTCCTGTTTTCATTGTGGTGTTTTCTTTTCTTTCTTTTTTTTTGAGAAACAACTGAAATTTTGTTGGGTTGAATGGGTAGAGGATATAGAAGGACATGGGGGAGTGAAAGAATATGCTCAAATATATTTAAAATTAAAAATTGCTTAAAACAATAAAAAATAATAAAATAGCATTAAAAACAAAATTGTTCATTTTCCACATGTATGTGGGCTTTCCATTGTTTTTGTAATTAAAAACCAGCATTAGTCCATGGTGATCAGATAAGATGCATGTGATTATTTCAATCTTCTTGTATCTGTTGCAGCCTGTTTTATGACCAACTATATGGCCTATTTTGGAGAAGGTACCATGAGGTACTGAGAAGAAGCTATATTCTTTTGTTTGAGGATGAAATGTACTATAAATATCTGTTAAACCCATTTGGCTCATAACTTCTATCAGTTTCACGGTGTGTCGGTTTAGTTTCTGTTTCCATAATCTGTCCATTGCTGAGAATGGGATGTGGAAGTCTCCCACTATTATTGTGTGATGTGCAATGTGTTCTTTGAGCTTTAGTAAAGTTTCTTTTATGAATGTGGGTGCTCTTGCATTTGAAAGCATAGATATTCAGAATTGAGAGTTCATCTTGGTAGATTTTTTTGACAAGTATGAACTGTTCTTCCCTATCTTTTTTGATAACTTTGGTTGAAAGTTGATTTTATTCGATATTAGAATGGCTACTATAGCTTGTTTCTTGGGACCATTTGTTTGGTAAATTGTTTTCCAGGCTTTTACTCTGAGATAGTGTCTGTCTTTGTCACTGAGGTGTGTTTCCTGTATGCAGTAAAATACTGGCTCCTGTTTACATATCCAGTCAGTTAGTTTATATCTTTTTATTGGGGAATGAGTCCATTGATATTAAGAGATATTAAGGAAAAATGATTGTTGCTTCCTGTTATTTTTGTTATTAGAGGAGACTTAATACCAATTCTCTTCAAACTATTCTGCAAAGTAGAAACAAAAGGAACACTACTCAGTTCATTATATGAAGCCACAATTGCACTCATACCTAAAGCACACAAAGATCCAAGAAAGAGAACTTCAGACCAATTTCCCTTATGAATATCAATGCACGCTCATGGATTAGCAGGATTAATATAGTAAAAATGGCCATGTTGCCAAAAACAATCTACACATTTAATGCAATCTCCATCAAAATTCCAACTCAATTCTTCTTAGAGATAGAAAGAGCAATTTGCAAATTGATTTAGAATAAAAAAAAAAACAGGATAGGGAAAACTATTCTCAATAATAAAAGAACTTCTGGAGGCATCACCGTCCCTCACCTCAAGCTGTATTACAGAGCAATAGTTATAAAAACTGCATGGTATTGGCACAAAGACAGGCAGGTAAATGAATGTATTAAAATTGAAGACCCAGAAATGAACTGACACACCTATGGTCACTTGACCTTTGACAAAGAAGCCAAAACAACACAGTGGAAAAAAGACAACATTTTCAGCAAATGGTTCTGGTTCAACTGGCATTCAGCATGTAGAAGAATGCAAATTGATCCATTTTCATCTTCTTATACAAAGCTTCCGTCAAAAAGGATCAAGGGCCTCCACATTAAAAAAACTACAATGAATCTGATAGCAAAGAAAATGGGGAAGAACCTCAAATACTTAGGCACAGGGGAAAACTTCCTGAACAGATGGGACCTCATAAAATTCAAAAGCTTCTGTAAGGCAAAGGACACTTTCTTTTTTTTAATTGGATATTTTGTTTATTTACATTTCAGATGTCATCCCCATCTCCCCTCCCTAGAACTCCCCTAAAAATTAAAATATCAAAATATAAGAAGAATTACACCACAGAAACATGAGTTATTAAAATCAAAGTGCAAGGCAGGATATATGTACAGGAAATTACTTGTCAGAGAGACCCCCGAAATATCCATCACAGTACAGGCTATTGCCTGTACACTAGCTCATTCACCATTACTACATAATAACACCCTATTGCTGAAGACATAACACACTGTGACACCAGGACATAGAGATTTAATCTCAAATCAATCAGGAATAATTTGTCCTTTGACTAGCTTTCAAAAGGCCAGAAGGTACATTGCAGACTACTAGGAGGAGAAAAGACAGCACTGGCTTTAGTCCTATCATGCCTAGCTATATACATGCTAAGGAAGGTGTGCCCAGTGGTACCATTGCTAGTTTTAATAGAGTTTCTCTGTGTTAACCTGTATGTTGGAACTTGCTCTCTAGACCAGCCTGACCTCAAACTCAGAGATCTACCAGTCTCTGCCACTGACTCCTGGGATTAAAGATGTGTGCCACCACTATACTCAGCTCTATTCTGATCATTTAGTTACGTTTTTTTCATAGAATATATTTTGTTCAGATTTTTCAACCCCATATCCTCCAAATCCTCCCCAACTTTCATGCTATGAGGAAAAAAAATTTAAATACCTCAGCATAGCCCACCAGACCACCAGGGTTTTGCTGAGAATAGCCAAAATAATAATAATAAGTTCCTCCTTGGGCAGAGTGACCACAAACGAAAGAACAACCAAGGACAAGCCTTGACAAGTCTAAACATGCCCAAATGAGAAATGGGCCATCTGGTGTTTTTATTCTCCTATCAGAAGGTCTGAGGTTTCATGGCCAAAAATACAAAAAAATACGAGTCATCATGACCACCAAGAAAAGCTTGCTATGCCCGCCAAAATGATAACTTACACCTATTGCTGATGTTTAAAATATCTAATCAAATGTAATCGCGCCAAAGTTTCCCACTTTCCCCCTTCCCCCTGTGCTGTTCTCTATATAAACTTTAAACTGTCAGAGCTGGGGGTCGAAATCTTTCCCTTGCATGGGATGCATTTTCGACCCAATGGCCCTTGTCAGTAAGCTACCTTTTGCTATTTTGTATCAAGCCGGTCTCCGTGTTTCCTCGGGTGCGCTCAACACCGGGTGAGAGTGGGGTCTCCCCTTTGGGGGTCCCTTACACTGCCAACACAGAATAACTAATTGCTTTCTTACTGGATTTGCAGCATTTACCACATGCTTTAAATTCTAATCAAATCAAAGGCCCATGTTTGGAGAAACTATGAGCCCTATGGCAGAATCTTCTATAATCTCTTTGTTACATGGTCATATGGCAAAATTGCATTATTAATTATTTATGATTATTACGTAGACCTGGCAGTTTTAGTTAGGTTCTCAGTGCTATAAAGCAACACCATGATCTAGGCACCTCTTACAAGGGACAGCATTTAATTGGGACTGGCTTATAGATGCAGTTATTCAGGCCATGTTCAATGCAGGTGCATGGCAGCATCCAGGAAGGTATGGGGCTAGAGAAGGATCCAAAAGTTCTACATCTTGAACCAAATGCAGACAGGAGAAGATTGACTTCCATATGGCTAAGAGAAGGGTCTCAAAACACACTCCCATAGCGACATACTTCTTCCAACCAGAGAACACTTTCTCCAACAAGGCCACACCTCCTAATAGTGTCACTACCTGAGACAAGCATATTCAAACCTCCATAGAGGGATACATTCAATCTTGGTGAAGAAGCATCTTCTCACAGTGGGCAGTAGTAAGTACTGAACAGCAGTCCCAGTGGAAAAACAATAGTGTTCGGCCCTATGGGGCCATTGTCATAAACTTCTTCCCCAAATACAACCACCAAGATTCAGAGGATAGCACAGAAGAGGAAGTAGAAAGAATGTAAGAGCCAGCTGTTGCAGAAATACTATGTGAAATGCTGACACGTGGACATGACATAGCTATCTGACTCATGAACTCACAGAAGCTGTGGTTACCTATATGCAACTACACAAGATCAAGACAGATAAATTCCTGCATAGATGGGGAGAGCCCTCTGCACTTAATGAATCACTATTGTTAGGTGAAAGGTGCTACAAAAAAGAGATTCATTCTTTTTTAGGGTGTGACCACTGGTAGTTTTCCTTGCACAAATAGGTGCTCTACAACCATGCAGGTATAAAGATCACTAATTAAGAAAACATGATTTAGATGAGAACATGTTAGAGCACATTCAGTGGAAACTTGAGGAAGCAAGGAAGTGATGGATGTGATCATATTTCATTCTGTATGTGCATGATATTTTCAAGAAAAAGAGATATTATATTATTAATAAAGAAAATCAATGATGTTTGCTACCATGTCAGAAATGAATATAAATCTTAGAGTTTATAAACTACAATACATTGAAATGGAAAGTAGATATAGATATGTACATTATACAAACTTACTCTTAGGTTTCTAAGTAGTAAACATGTGTCCTAATGTGTTGTGTCTCTGCTCAGGCTCCCTGGAGAGCTGCCAGCACTCAGCTCAGGGGAGACAGTTCAGTCTTACTGTTCCTCATCTTATACATCCTTCCCTATCTCCAAGAGGATGTCCCTACCCCCCATCCCACCCCATTAGACCTCCCCACTCCCCGAGGCCTTAAGTCTCTCAAGAGTTAGGTACACCTTCTCTCACTGAAGCCAGACCAAGCAGTCCTCTGCTGTATATGTTTCAGGGGCTGCATATCAGCTGGTGTATCAGAAAAATGGCAGTCCATAGTCTGTGGTTTTCTTTGTCAGACCAGAAAAGGAAAGAAAGTTCTCTGGGAGAAATGTTCTGGTTTCTGTTCTCCACTTCTCTTCAGGACGTCCACCTGCCAGGCAAGGTAAGAGAAGAAGGCAGTGCCTGGGAAAGACCGAACTAATCTGATTTTGAGAACTTTTGAAGGTAACAAATTTGCTCTGTTTTAGTTTGGGGTGGTGGGCCCTGAGAGGCAGCTGGGTACCTGGTTGAGCACAGACCTCAAACCCCAAATACTCTAAAGAGACAGTTGGAATACGGCCTTGGTCCTGGGCCCTGGTTCCTTTCACTTATCCATAGCTCCTCCCAAAGAAAGGATTGTGACCTTTGGTCACAGAGCACAGGTAGAGGGCATGACTACAGGCCACAGAGCCTCAAGAAATCTCCACATTAATGAGATACCTAAAGGCCAGAGGGCATAGCCAATTAAACATTCTTTCCCAGACCCTCCTCTTACTTACAAAAAGTATTTAACCTCAGGCCCACTCTGAGGACATGGGGTATGGCTTCAACCACTCTTGATCATGACAATAAACCTTTTAAAACCATGGACTTCTTCTCGTACTAGGGCACTACCATGGAGAACCATACAAGGGGGCTTCAACCAATGAGCCAATGCCTAATCTCCCGCTGGAGGACTTCTCTACATTCCCACCACAGAGGCCTGCCAACTCAATCAAGCTAGCTGAGCCCGCTGTGACTCAGACAAGCAAGTTGCCTCAACCAAGAGTCTCCTTCACACCACAGGGCATCACAGGAGCTTTTCTCTCTTGCTCCTTTCAGCTATGGGTTGATCCAGCCTGTATGCCCCTATCTCAGTCCCTCTTCTACCTCCCAATGGCACCTGGGAGCTCAAGGGCTGAGACCACCCAGTCTTCAGCCAACAGCCTTGGCCGAGAGACCCCCAACCCAAGAGCTCTGCCCCCAAGGGACCACAGACTGGGGTCTCATCATTCCTGGAGTGGAGCTCTGTGTGTCCGCCCAGCACCTTTTGGAGTGAACTCAGTCAAATTCCCATGCATGTGCCCTCTGAGCCTTGGTTCCAGCTGCCTGGGACAGCAGACTTGGGGGAACCACAACTCAACCCAACAGAACCCATGCCTATGTGCAAGCTACAGCTGCACATTTTAGTTTGATGGTTTCTATTGCTGTGATGAAAAACTATGACCAAAGGAACTTGGAGCAGCAAAGGATTTATTTTGCTTAAACTTCCACATCATCATGCATCATTGAAGAAATTCAGGGCAAGAATATAACAGGGCATGAGCCTGAAGGTACATCTAATGCAGAGTGCATTGCTCCCCAAAATTTGTTCAGCCTACCTTCTTAGCATACACAGCACCACTATCTCAGGAATGATACCCACTATAATCCAGACTTTCCTATGCCAGTCAGTAAATAAGAAAATGCATTACAGGCTTGCTTACAGCCAAATATTATTGAGGCATATTGTCAATTGAGATTCCCTTTTCTCAGGTGACTTCTGCCAAGTTTACATGAAAGTAGTTTGGAGAATGGTGCTAGAAAAAAAAATGTACTTATTTGTTAAAACTCACAGTTTTCATGTCATAGTGGATACAGTTATTTGCACACTGTAACTTCAAGACTTGAATTTTTAAATTTAATTGTCAAACAAACAAACAATGAGCCACACTGTTTCACAACTAAAGGTCATTACAAGTGAATGCTCTGAATGATCCTAAATATGAAGAAATAGTGACAGTGACATGATCCAGAAAATTGACAATGGTGAATATGGGTTATGGATTAAAACATATTACTAGATACTTACTGAATTTTTTGAGGTTTAGTACGATACTATAAAAGAAATTGCTTTGCCTTAGAAAGTATATCTGCACAGCTTATTATTATTATTATACATCATAAGACAGAGACTTGCTCTGTAGCACACAGTGACATCAAACATACTGTGAAGACTAGGCATAAAGACAATGGGACTTCGCTAAAACATGATGATCCACTGACTTCCATGCATATAACAACTGCAGTCTCTGCAGGATGGTGTATTAAGTGCCACAATTACATTCTTGGTAAAATGTAATGTGAAATGTTGACTAAAAAGTAAAACACTAGGAACGATGAGACCTATAATTTCACAATTTGGGAGCTGAGTTAGGAGGATTATAACCTAGGATATAGAGCAAGACCCTGATTAAATATTAACTAATAATTGAAACATCATTTAATTTACTTATGAACAGTCAGAAAGCAGATCCCTATATAGGCTAAAGTTTCAGCAAGCTGAAACTCGAGAGGATCAGCAGACCCTGGCAGCCAGACTTTCTCCTAATAGTCAGGGCAAGATAAATAGTGATATGTAAAATGGTCATTCAAATACTAAATGATGAATCCAGGCTGATCAGGAGTTTGAGACAGGTTTGTAAAAAACAGTGACTTTGAACCAGGCTGGCATAATAAGAATCTAGCCAAAGAATACTAGACAGAGAGTGAAATCTGCCAAACTCAATGGGGCTGAAATCACAAATGGATAAAACTTTAACATATGATTACATCTCTTTAAACTTTGATTCAAACCAGGGAGAAACAAAGACTTTCAATTTACTGGAGGAAGAGAAAAGAAAGATAAATGGAACCTGGAAAATAGAGACGTTCTTCTATGCTTGTAAACAAAAAACACAAGTAAGGTTCCCAGCTGCTCATTCATTAGAAGTTGTCATTTTAACAAATGGACAAGCTTCTCCATCTTCCCACTGGAAATGGTAAATGGAAATGAGAAAGTGCTTTTGGTGCCCACAGCAGTCTTCTGCCTTGTAGATATCACTACTGAAGTCTCATGTCTGGCCCTAGCAAGCATGTGATCATCAGGAAACTGTTCTGCAGCACGGTCAAGGTCCACAATTGTCTCTTATCCTGGATGCAGGCATGTCCTGTCAGTTGTTGGTACCTCACTCTAAATATTACCACAAGCCCATCTCTGTCTCTGTATGCTGCTGTAGGCTATACACAAATTTATTTACACTTTGGCCAATCACAATAGCAAATTCCAGAAATCCCAATGCTTGGGAGATAGAGGCAGGAAGACTAGGGCTATTTTGTTTGAAATGATACATCATACACAAAAAACAAAATTAATAGCAGTACTAATGTTGCCTGTGATTAGAACATATTAATACATCTTGTAAGGCTATCTCTCCTCTGGCCACTTCTGTGATAGTCTGCTTAAAAGTGTCCTTAGGAGAGAGAGATGAAAATATTTTCCTGAAGCTTTGAAACCTAGCTGTCCACACTGACAGGGCCACATTTATGATAGAAGTGAGCTAGACCTGCTGTGTTCCCAGGCACTGAATGCAAGATTCCTGAGAAAGTTATCACTCTGGGTACCAGGCCTCCGATAGTTTCTGTAGCTGCTGAAGAATAAAATCAATGAATGCCACAAAGAAAATGACATCATGGGAGTTGGAGAGATGGCTCAGTGGTTAAGAGCCCTCACTGCTCTTCCAGATGACCCACATTCAGTTCCCAGTACCCACATGGCAGCTCACAATTGTCTCTAACTCCAGTTCCAGGAAACCTTAGACCAATATATATAAAATAAAGTTAAATGAACTTTTAAAAAAGAAAATGACATCATGAACAAAAGACAACAGAAACAATACATTAAACTCACAAAAGAACAGACAATAGGATTACCAACTAACACATATAAAATAAGTATGCATGACATCTTTCAAAAGATAAAAGACAGGTCAGAAATGCCTGCCTATAGTTCCAACACCTGAGAGATGGACACATGAGAATCAGGAGTTCAAGGACAGCCTTTATGAGATGAATTCCTACCTAAAATAACAACAAAATAATAAAAATTACACTTATCTTTAAATTATATTTTAAAAACAACATAACATGAATACCTAGGAAAGTTATTAAGGGACAAACACAGAATTATGAGAATATTTCTTGAAATTTGTATTTCTGAAAACAGATTAGTAATTAGCAAGAATGATAAATAATGATGTAAAGGTAGATGGTGATTCTGAGGATTCAAGGACAAAGGTGGATAAGTACTGGAAAATAAGGGACAGGAGAGAATAAAGGATGGGTTAATCAAAACTAACAATGTATAAAAGGCCTTATAAAAACCCATTAGTTGGTAAGCTTATACTTGACCAATACAAAACACACTCAGTATTTTCTTGGTGACTTGAAGTTTTTATGTGTGTGGTTTTGTTTGTGTGTTTGTTTGCTTGGTTTTTGGTGGGCAGGGGCAATTTTTGTCTTATTGGATTTATGTTTGTTTTCATTTGATTGATTTTACTTTACCTTTTTGTTTTGGTTATTGATTTTATTGTTGTTGTTTGGGGGAGAAAGAGAAATAACATGTAGTTGAGTGTGTAGGAAGGTAAGGAGGAACAAGGAGTATTTAGTGGAGATGTCTGTTCATATCCTAAATAGAACGGGAAAAAACAGTGTGGATGTGGGTGGGTGTGGGAAGTGGAGAGGATCTGGAAGAGAAATGATGGGCAAACTATAATAAGAAAATATTACGATTTTCCTTGAACTTCAGCTACCTTGTGGTCAGGAGCTTGTGGTGGGAGCTTAGTGCTGCGTGAGTACTTGAGATACCTGAAAACTTTCTCAAGCTGCAGTTGCCATGCCGGCCTCCTAGGACATTCAGCAAGTGATCCTGTCACTTGCCAGGGCTTGAAAATATTCCATGTTTATATGATTTTATTCTATAGCACCTAGGAGAAGAAGAACAAAAAGAATGAGTGCTTCCCTGGTAAACACTCCGCAGAAATAAAATTCCCATGGACTGGAGACCTGGTGGTCTCCCAAATCATCTAATAAAAATGATTCTCAAGAATATATTGATGAGTATTTTCTACATTTGTGTTCAGAAGAGATAATTGCATGTTAAAGAACTGGTTTTAACATTCTATTGTGCAGTGCATTGTGGGTGCTGAGAAACAAATATCATAATAGAGAACTTAAAAGATATTCTACAAATCAAACTGCATGCAAAATTTTCAAAAGGAAGTGATGGTGGCCAATCTTTCATTTACTGTTAAGGTCTCAGTAAACCAACGAGAATTCATGAAGGCTCATTTAACCTTTAAGGATGTGGCTGTGGTCTTCTCACTGGAGGAATGGGAATGTCTCAATTTTGCTCAGAGGGCATTGTACATGGATGTGATGTTGGAGAATTACAACAATCTATTGTTTGTGGACAATCATCGCATATGTGGAATGTATGGGAAGGTCTTGGATCAAGACATACAGTACATTGTCCATGAGCATGTGAATATCCAAGAAAAGTCTTCTAAATTCAATGAACTTAGCAATATAATTCACGAATCTACCCAAAGTACACATCATAAAACTCATGACAGAGATGCATCTCTTCAATTCTCAAACCTAAAAATAGTTAAAACTGGGAACACTGAAGAAGTTTCCAAGTATAAAGAATGTGCAAATGGTTTAAATATGTGTTCAAACATTAGTCTCAATCAAGGAATCCTCATAGGAAAGAAAGAACGCAATAGAAATACAGAATTTCATAAGGTTTTTCTCTCTAAACATAAACCATTGGTGAAACAAAATAATAGTGGAGTGAATCTTGACAAATGTAGTGAACCTGACAAATGTTTTGCTCAGAGAAACAGTCTTCAACGTCAGCAGAGCTTTTATCCAGGAAAGAAACCTCACAAATGTAGTGAATGTGAAAAATATTTTACACAAAAATTCAAGCTTAGAATGCATCAGAGATTTCATACACAAAGGAAACTTTACAAATGCTTTCAATGTGACAAGTGCTTTGCCCAAAAATCTGATCTTAGCATACATCGGAGAATTCATACAGGAGAGAAACTTTACAAATGCAATGACTGTGACAAATGCTTTACTCAAAAAGGCAGGCTGAAAATTCATCTAAGAATTCACAAAGGAGAGAAACCTTACAAATGTAGTGAATGTGACAAATGCTTTACTCAAAAATCCCATCTTAGTATTCATCAGAGATTTCACACAGGAGAGAAACCTTACAAATATAGTGAATGTGACAAATGCTTTGCCCAACCATCACATCTTAGTGTTCATTAGAAAATTCACACAGGAGAGAAACCTTACAAATGTAGTGAATGTGACAAATGATTTACTGAAAAATGCA